GGTGGGCAGTTTTGTTTTGCTTGCCCTGCCGGGTTCTCTTTCTTCTGTGATTTCTTTTTTTACCCAAAATAAGAGGGACCCCTCCCATAGATCTGCCACTGCTACTAAAATATAATACAGTCCAACCTCTATTAAGCAGCCACCTATTAGGTGACCAGTAATCAAAGTCCCAATGAGGGCTATTCTATTGTTTTTAAGCAACAAACCCCTTCTGAGCAGCCACTATCCATTTCCCTAGGGTCGCTATTTAATAGGGGTTGAACTGTGTTACCAAAATAAACTACCCTACTTAACAACAGGTATTGAATTAATAACTTAAAGGGAACTGCACGGTGAGTTCTATGGCAGGTAAAAATTACTATTGTAAGTATAATTCACCCAAGCAACATGCTTTTTTATAGCTCTGACTCAAAATCCTGTCTATTAAGTGAATGTAAGTAAGTACATTGTACACCTATAGATAGCATGGATAAAAGGGATATACTTTAGTCATGCAACACTTTTGAGTGGTATATATTAACAATAGCTTCCATCAGGCATGAAAATATGCTTAGAAATTTGTCCGTGGACATTATCTGTTCCAAGGAGTGAACAGTTTTCCGAGAGCAAAGCTCAAGGAAAACTGCGAGCTTCAAGGAACAGGTTATGACCAAGGACAAATATCCAAGCATATTTTTCAAGTCAAATGGAAGCTATTGAGTTTATTATCCTTCAAATATTTTTTGCAACACACAAGATCTGCTAGTCTCTCCCAAATAGGTCAATCAGGTCAAACTTTGTCAATTGGCTTCCAAAATCCCCACCTCTTTCAACATTCAATTCAAGACTTTCGAACAGACTTCGCTTCAGTGAAAAGAATATGCTTAACGAAAAAGTACAACATTTCAGTGAAAGGAAAACAGACTTTTTTAATGAAAGGCAATTTAAGCAAGATACAAGTTGCAGATATGGTTACAGTCTAACTCTTTCTTTTGAGAACAAGATCAAAGCACAAAAATTGTTAAGCATTTCATTTCTTTCTGTGAAATGCGTTAACCAACATGAACGAAACAGCCAGCACTTTACGGTTCTATTCCTTTCATGTTGTGTTCAATTGAAGCAGTACTGTATCTTGAAAATACAATAATTGTGAAATTGACCGGCTGAAAATGATTGCCTACTGGGAATAACAGAATGCTCCACATGGTTGATGTATGATGTGCTGGCAACCTGTGAAGAATTCAAAGCAGCCTGCACTTGAAATCTGGATTCCTCCACAAGTTGGTTTTGCTGGATTTCCATCAGAACTCTTTCTTTCCTAACCTGATACTGAGTGGAGCCAGAAACAAAGTTGCTTGCAATCGCTGACGATTGAACGTGCTGCTTGAGGGTAGGACATTTGTGGTAGCTTTCAACGGCTGAGTCACTCTTATGGCTGGTCACCGACTTCACTCTGGCATTTCCAAGCCCAGATGCCTTCAAGATCATCACAGAGGTGGCTTGCAAACAATTGGAAGTAGCCAATGTGAAGTAGCCAATCCTTCTTTTTTGGACATCTGAGAAAAAAGGTTCTGCAACCTGTGTTTCCCAGGTGGTGCATTGCAGTACCAGACATCATCTGCAGGGTTGAATTTCATTGCTTTGTGATTTTTTGGTTTCTGCCAAAGAGCTTTACATTGCTTATTTCGCTTCAACAAGTAGGTCTTCACAGCTAACACAGGACAGTGAGGATTGCCCAGCATCTCTGACATGGCAGCTGCAGCTTTATTTTTGCTGCTATGGAGGCCCCCTTGGTGGTTTTCCATGGCTCTTTCAGCAAGTGTTATGCACTCAAGGCCGCAGCTAGAACTGTGGATTTGAATATCTTCAGTCGTTATCTCATTCATGTTTCTCGCCGGCATTTTCCAAAGTGGAGCATGATGTTAAACCAGGCTATTTGCAGTAACCTTTCTGGTGTTTCTAGTCCAAGCTGCTTCCTTTCGTAGAGAATTGCGACATCTTGAGGTATCAACACTGGTTTGTGTTTAGTGGATGAAATTTTTCCTTCACAAGCGAGCTCAACCAGGTGAGCATTGAGAGTATCATTTGCAGGCTTGAACTCTGTAGTAATAATACTGCAGTTTATGTTTTCTTTACTTAAATACCTATCCAGGCCAGCTCAAATTGTTCTCATTGAATTACGACTGTAATATTTGCCATTAATATTTGCCATTGTGGGAGCGAGCTTTGACGTAAAAACTATGCAAAATATTTACAAACTCTTCTTTTGTAAACTTGTTTAATGGCTTGGTAACTGCTTTTTCTTTTCACCAGGCTGAAAGAAAATTATAAATACTCTAGAATGAGAGTGGCTAATAACTTTTTGTCTTTTAGCATGTGTTTTTTGTCATACTTTTAATTCAAGGGCTGTTGAACAGAGTGAACCTTGGGTGAAACCAAGCAAAAATCTCACAATGAGCTTGTGTATTTCAATATTGTATCAAAAATAACAAATTAGACTACGCGTTTACAAACAGCTTACCGTCAAAAACATTAACAGCGTATGAAGTGGAATTTTGGTGTTTTCTGGTACCACTTTATCAACCAGCAAGTTTATCTCTTCTTCTATTGCAAAAGTAAACCGTTCTGCCATCCCGACATTAATTTTAATGTGAGATTTGAATCCTTGAAGTCAGTTTTGAAGATTGAGGAATATCAATCAGATATTTCCCAGTCTTAGCTGGGGTATATTCAGTCACATGACGCGTTTAGACCAATCGTGCGCGAATGAAAATATTTAATAGATAATTAAATGGAATATCCTGGAATTTTCTTGGTATACACATAAGCCTTTAGGTGACTGTGTATACCAAGAAAATACACGTGAAGAATGGGAAATTCCATGGTATACCACAAGAGAGCATTGTATAACTATTTTAAACCATGCCATAGAAAATAAAGGGGCCAACACAATCAATGCGACATACACGTGGTGTATGATGGGAAAGTTGGATGTAATACTTAAGAAATAGAAAACAGGTGGTGTGTTTCTATCAAGTTTTAGAAACACGAGTGGAAGTTTGGGAGAACAAGAAATGCTATGGGAACACGAGCCGCAGGTGAGTGTTTCCACAGCTTTTTCAAGTTCTCCCAAACTTTCACAAGTGTTTCTATAACTCGATAGAAACATGGAGAACATGTTTTCTATTTTTTTAAGAAAACACCACCGTGAAAAAAGAAAAACAACTTGTTAACTTTGATTATCAAAATGTAAATTCTCTTTGCTCAGGCCAGCATTACGTCAACAGCTTGCGCTAGTTCTGTGTTTCTATCGAGTTATAGAAACACGATTTTTAACCAGTCAGTGTGCGTATTTTCTTAGGACTGTTTTCTAAAGTCTAATATACAATAACTTTCCTGTATTCTGATTGGCTGTATTTCCTATAGCATGGTATAAAGATATGACAACAATAAAAATTTTTAATTACCTCTTCGGATTTTTTCTGTTGCACATACTCAGTCCTGTATTTGTCTTTTCCTCTAAGCCTGATAATCAGCCATGACAAGCCCAAACCTCCAAGGACAAGAGTTGCACCCTGCACCCTTACAGACATCCACCAGTCTATTAACTTGTCCTGCCAACTAGGCTCTTTAACATTTTTTGAAGATTGTGCTATGGAAAAAAAGTTTTGCTGATTAGTTTCAGGGATGATTCAGTTGTCTGTTTCTTAGTGACTCTAAACAGTCCTCAAACCCAAGCTGTTAAATCATTTTCCGGGTACAATTTACACTTAAGTTATTGGTACCTATTGTCGGACACTACCTGTTCTTGGACAGCTAAGGAAAAGACTCTGAAGTTTGGAAGAAAACCTTGCCAAGCCCTTAAACTGGGACTAATAGTACATTTTAGCTGAGAAAAAAGTACCAGTGCACATGCGTATAGCCTTCTGTTCCACTCTTAGGAGCGAAGAGGATGTGTGAGTGATACAAGTTTACGTTTTTCCGCCTTCAGAAATTCAGAATCAACTTGGGGTAAATATGGTAAACTAACATTGAAGTATGTAAAAGTCCAGAGTTCTTAGTTTGTCTAACCTAAAGTGACCTTCTAAAATTAAGAAGGGAAAACATAATCGAGGAAAAGAACGTAAACGCTGAGCTGTTTAATACACGTGAGCTACAAATTGCCGCGAACACTGCACGAGTTTTATTCCTTGAAAGTTCCAAAAAATTATATTATACAGGCGATAAAGACAAAGAGGTACCATTCATTATACTTACCATCTACTTGGAAGGATAAACAAACAACAAGCAAGAAAATTACTCCTAAGAAAAAGAACACCGAGCTGCGCGAGTTACAAGCCGCCATTTTAATCTTACACAAAAGGCTCGGTTACAAAGTCAAGTAAGGAACGCCTGTCAATAAATGCAGTTGGTGAACACGCTGAACTGCAGTACCTGTGATTTGAAGGACAAAATAAAGAAATGGTGAGGTATAAAAAAAGGTCAGTACAGAACACGCACTCACTATGAATAAAACAGTCTATATGAAAAGTTTCAGCTGAATTCGTCATCTGTTACTTCATTCCCGTTGCAGATATTTGTTGGTAGAAATTTCATTTGCAGACGGCAAGGTTGATGAAAGAATTTTATCGAGATTAATTTACAAAACCGTGAAGAATGCCGTGATATCTGCCCATGGAGACTACGGAATGGCTTGCGTCGATCGCTCTTTAAAAGGTACGGGTATTAAATGCATTGTAAGGAAGGCCCCTCGATTCATTGTTTCCAGCTGTTTCTTACTTCCCCAGCGGGAATTACATGTACTCAGTATATACGTAAATCGTTAGTTGATGGTGTGCCGCTGGAACATTGAAACCCTTACCCTATTTAAGGCCATGACCAGCTTGATTCTGCAACCCTTTTCTAGACTAGGGACCAAAAAACCTACACTATCCCATGCCCAGACTAGCCATTTTTGCATGCACTCAAAAACTATCTACAGCAGAATATATAGTGTATTAAGTTAGTAGTGTAGCCAATTAGAGAACGGCAATCATTTTAGACCACTAAAACTTACTATTTTGTGTGTCTTACTGTAGTGAAGTATACAAACCCCATTACCGGTGTGGCCTTTATAGCCTGTGGCAGGGACTATTACAGGATGGTTTGGTCTGCACTAACCTTAATCAAAACCATCACCTTTGAAGATTCAGCTAGGCCTTGTATGTTCAGAGTACTTCATGTAGGAGGTAATTTTAAATATTATTTTTGATATGTATTGGTAATACTAATTCTTGTCTTTGTAACTGCCAGCTGGAATAACCATTACTTAGATCAGTTTATTTTATTAGTTTCTCTCCAACAACCTGGGTTCTAAAGAGTATTTTTGCTACAGTATTTTGTAAAAACTCACTTAGTTCTTTCTGGTTAATTATCAGGCTTCTCCCTGAACAGTAATCAGTACCCCTTGGGATGGTAAACTTGTAGATATACATAGTCTACTTACAAGCCAAGTAGTCCATCAGGCTTGTGCTCATATCCAGTTTCAGTAGCATGAAGCAACTAAGAGTATTTCTATCCCCCCCACCCCCACCCCCACCCCCGCTCCTGCGAGATTGAAAACAATTTGAAAAAATACCAAAGAAAGCAAATTCTTCAAACAAGTGCACTTGCCAAAGTACCTGTATCTGACAACTCTGANCACCCCCACCCCCGATGAGAAGCTGGTCTATCACAGGGTTACCCCGTAGCAGTAAATGTGCAATTACCCATTTATGCATCTGGGTGGAGAGAGGCACTGTGAAAGTTCAGTATCTTGCCCAAGAACACAACACAATGTCCACAGCCATTGCTTGAACCCGGACCATTCAAACCAGAGTCAAGCGCTAACCATCATCTCACACTATCATGAAGAACAACATTAAACTTCACATTTTGTTTTCATGCCACCCTTATCAATTTCAGTCTGCCTAATAGCAAACAGTCCAAAATTTATTAGCTGAAAACCTTCACAGAATACTTCACTAGTGTCCCCTTCATAACTTGCAGTGTCTGCTTAATGCAGGTTTGGCTGTACAGTAGTTTGAGAAAAGGAATTGCAGATAATTAAAAAATTACTCTTGAGCAACAAACTCAGACAAGTTATGTGTTTTCTGGCCCTTTTCAGGCACTCTCCTTTCTTGCCAGAAGTTTCTTATTCATCACAATAAAGAAGAGTTATTAAAGTTATTACAGCAGTGCAAGACACCAGGTTAGTTCAATGGTCTTGGTCTTTCCTCTCCCCATTTAAGCCTCTTTCAGGCATTCAGTTAGATGGGATGCAGCACAAAAAAAAATAGCAGAGCAAAAATAGCAGAGAGGCTTGGGGTAAAGAGCGAATGCCTTCCCACACTACACTTCTTCCCTATTTTTTCATGCGCCTTTTTTTGC